AAAAAAAAAAAAAAAAAAAAAAAAAAAAAAAAAAAAAAGAACATGATCCACATGAAAGAGAGGAATGGCCACCTCCAACTTCCTGTGGGTTGTCTGGGGCACTCTTTTGCTGTCCTTGGTATTAGGGTTTGAACACACAGGGCTCTATACCTCGTCTGCCTCCTGAGTGCTGGGATTAAAGGTGTGGGCCACCACGCCCAGTACGACTGAAACTTTTTAAATATCAAATCTAGACTAGGAAAAGACAGCAATATTTTTTTTTTTTAACTTTTTTAAACTTTATGTGGGTTGGGGGTTTGGCTCAGTGGTAGAGTGCTTACCTAGCAAGCACAAGGCCCTGGGTTCGATCCTCAGCTCAAAAAAAAGAAAAAAGAAAAAGAAACTTCACGTTTCTTTGTATGGGCGTTTTATCTGCACATGTGCCCGTGTGTACCACACCTGTGCCCGTATCCATGGAGGTCAGAAAAGTGAGGGCATCAGATCTATTGGGACTGGAGTTGCAGACAGTTGTGAACCTCACTGTGAATGCTGGGAACCAAACTCAGCTAGCACTCTTAACTGCTGAACCATCTCTCCGCCTCTCTGCTTCATATTTTCTTTTTTTAAAAAAAGATGTCATAGACAGAAAGTTCTGAGACCACCTTGATGAGAGGTTACAGCCTTCAACAGCTATGATCTGGTGCTAATCAACAGCGGGCCTCACGGTCTTCAGTTCAGGCATCTCCTGTTGGACCTCCTTGACCAGCACACTACCTTAGGGCAGCCCTTCGTAGTCTGGAGCTGAGACACACACACACACACACACACACACACACACACACACACACACACACACCACACCACACCACACCACACACGGAAGGCAGAAGCTGAGAGACACTAGTCCCTTTCCCAGGACCTATCCCATTAAGAGAAAGTCACCAGACCTGTCTGGTGGAAAGAAACCAGGTCACCTCCAGAGCTGAAGGGAGCTGCCTGCCCTAGCCCAGAGTCTCTGTGGCTTGGGAACCCTGAAACCCCATACGTCACCAGGAAATGAGAAAAGAGAGGACCAGGAAAGCCCAAAGAGGTCCTGCAGCTTCCCTGAAGAGTTAGGAGCTCTAACAAGAGCCGGGTACCATAGGTGTGGCCAAACTTGGACTCTGGAGAACCCAGTGGGTCTGGGCTAAGCTCGCTGAACTTTCCCAGAGAGAGTCCTCTTGCCCCCAAGCCAGATTTCTTTTCTTCTTTTCTTTCTAATTTTATGTTTTGCCATGGTAAGTTTCAGGTCCCCTGAAACCGGAGTTACAGTTCTGAGCTGCTATGTGGGTGCTGGGAGTTGAACCTGGGTCCTCTGGAAGAGCAGTCAGTGCTCTTAGCAGCTGACTCTCTCCAGCCCCAAGCCAGCTTTCTTAGGTGGCTCAAAGAGCACCCAGGTCACCTTTGACAGTGACTGGGCCTGATGCTTATTCTGCTTTGGGGTGAAATACTGGATAAATCCCAGATGAATTGATACTGGCTGGAACACTCAACCACTAACATTTCGAAGGTGGTCCCCCCCCCTTTTTTTTTCTTGGTTTCCTTCAGCTAGGGACTGAGCCAGATCCTTGGACGTTTGATAAGCTGAGCCAAACACCAGCTCCTGGAAGGATTAATGTTTATTGAGCATGTACCATCCACTACTCTAGTGCATATCTTTTTTCATTTTTTATTTTGAGACAGGATTTCACTATATAGCCCTGCTGGCCTGGAACTTCCTATGTAGGCCAGGCTAGACTCTAACTCTCAGAGATCTCCCTGCTCCTGCCTCCCAAATGGGAGCAAATGCTTGAGCTACCATGCCCTGCCTAGAATCGGACTTTTTATTTTTATTTATGTAGTTTTGTTTTTTTAGATAGGTTCTCACTATGTAGCCTTGGATGGTCTGGGTCTGGAGCTGGCCCTATTGACCAGGCTGACCTGGAACTCTGCCTCACAGAGCTCGGATTAAAGGCATGGCCCACGGTGCCCTACCTAGGAAGGAACTTCTTAAATTCCCACTCCTAATCGTTTTCAAAGGAGGACACAAACATTAAGAGCCTCAAGCGGGGCAGCGGAAGCCTTACACCCAAGCAGGGCCCCCGCTTTTCACTTTGCGTAACTGAAGAGCCTTCAGCGGTACAGAGAGGAAACTGAGGCGCAGAGAGGTGTCATGGTTTTTCTCGGCAGCAAAGCCAACCAGGGACATAACCTAAGCCTGCTGGTTCGCCTCTGATGCTCCGAGAGGAGCGTCTTGGCCTTTTTCCAGCCGACTCAGCCGCGGGCTCGGCCCAGACACCGCCAGGTGAGCCGATGACTCAAAGGGCGGAGACTAAATTTTACGCACGGCCTCGCCCTGTCCCGTTGCTCCCGGGGGTGGGGGACGAGCTCCGGAATCGGGCGGGTGACAACTTGTCGGAGTGAAACCGGGAAGGCGCCGCCCCGCTGCGCTCCACGGGCCGCGGGGCCGCAGCTTCGTCTTTCCGCGATGGGCAGCCGGGCCGGCGGGGCGGGAGGCGGGAATACTGGCCGTTCGCTCTCCCATTGGCCAATCGGGGTCCGGGGGCGGACCCTGTGGAGGCCCCGTCCTCTGATTGGGCCGTAGACTGAAGGCGGCGGAGCGCCGCGGCGGGCTGGTGCGTGTCGCTGCCTGCTAGGTGTGCGGCCGTGGGCTGGTCCAGCCCGACTCCCCGCGGCCCTTCCCACCCTGCTCGCTCCGGCTTCTCGCCAGCGGCTTTCCTTTTGTCCCCACCTAGAATCGCCGGGCCTTGGAGAGCTTTCCCTTATTAGATCTGGGTTTTTAGTGGAGTCCCTATGCCCCTGCCTCCCTCGGATCGTGCGCCCCTCGGCTCCGATCTGAGCACTTGATGTGACCGTCCCCTGCTTTCAGATCTGAAGCGCTCAGTGCCACCCGTGAAGCGCGTCTCTAGGGCCACTATGCTGTCTTCAGTGGCTTCGTGGCTCCCGCTACGTCTGAGCTTCACGGCTTTCCCGGCCACGGCACCTACTCACCTCTCCTCGCCTGATCTGCCTTTGTGCTCACTGGTCTGAACCAGTGCGCTGTGGGGGCTTCCGATGGCCTCTCACCTGAAGTCACCCGACCCAGACCCGGGGGAACTTGAGGTCCTAACTCGGTGTTCTAGAGTCCGGTTCTCTAACTCCCTTCAATTCCCCTCCCAGCCCATGACCAATAACTGGAGAAGACGGGAGTGTCCCAGGGCAACTTTATTGAGAGGAAACATGGTCACACCCAGCAAACATGTGTTCCTTCTCATTCTCTCTCACACACTCACACACTCACACACACACACACTCACAGCCCTTGCCACAGTCCAGTTCTCAGCCACAGTGGTGGGAGCCTCCTCCATTCCTAGGCTCTAGAAGCAACGGGTACAGAAGGAGGCACAGGGCGGAGGACAGGTTCCGGAGCATTTGTAAGGAAGTTGGGGTGCAGAGGGCGGGGGTGGGGGGGTGGGCAGTGTTAGGAACACCCACCAGACAGCTGCATGAAGAGTGGGGTCTCCAGCCCGTCAGCCTGGCTGCACCCCTTCCAGGGCGCGTTTCAGGGTGTGGCAGAACGTTCAGGGTTTGGGAAGGGCCGGCTCTCACTCCCTGTTAGTCCTCTCTGCAGACTGGGGACCGGAGGGCAAGGCAGGGCGGGGAGGGAGCAGACGGCTTCAGCTCTGGGGCTCCTCTGGCGCTTCTCCACCCTCTTCTCCAGCACTGTCCGCTGTCCACAGCGTCAGGTTGTCTCTCAGCAGCTGCATGATGAGTGTGCTGTCCTTGTAGGAGTCCTCGTTGAGAGTGTGCAGATCGGCCATGGCCTCGTCGAAGGTGGTCTTGGCCAGCGAGATGGCCTCCTCCGGGCTGTTGGCTATCTCGTAGTGGAAGACAGAAAAGTTCAGGGCCAGGCCCAGGCGGATGGGGTTGGTGGGCGGCATCTCCTTCTTGCTGATGTCCATGGCCTCTTGGTAGGCCGACCGGGCAGAATCGATGATGCGCTTCTTGTCATCTCCGGTGGCCACCTCGGCCAGATAGCGGAAGTAGTCACCCTTCATCTTCAGGTAGAAGACGCGGCTCTCTGCCTCCCCAGCCTCCTTGATGAGGTGGGAGTCCAGCAGGCCCAGCACGGTGTTGCACACCCCTTGGAGCTCCGTCTCCACCTTCTCCCGGTACTCTTTCACCTCGGGGCCTCTCTCTTCCGACCCCTCCTCGTTGCTCTTCTGTTCGATGCTGGACAGGACCCTCCAGGCCGCTCTCTGGCCGCCCACCACGTTCTTATAGGCAACGGAGAGCAGGTTTCGCTCCTCGCAGGAGAGTTCCTCACCCTTTTCCACGGCCCCCTTCATGAAGGCTGCCATGTCCTCATAGCGTTCCGCCTGCTCGGCCAACTTGGCCTTCTGGATCAGACTGGCTCTCTCCATGACTCCGAGGACAGACAGGGGGGTGAACTGGCTGCCTTGAGACCAATGCTGGATTCTGTGCCTCTCTTGCTCTGGGTCCTGCCTTTTGGCTGGGGTGGCAGGGCCTGGAGAGGGTTTGGGAGTGGCCTGGGCGGGCCTGGGCCCTGCCTCCTCCTCTTCTCCACACCCTTTCCGGCTCTTCCTTAAAGGTAAAAGGGCTGGGATGGGATGGGGTGAGTCATCAGGACAGTCAGCAGGAGAAACCTGGCCATGGGTCCCACCTGAACAGGCATCCTTCCTGCTTCCAGACTGCCCCCTGCTGTTCAGAGCGGAGTTGCAGGAACATTCTAGATCACCAAAATCAGATTGTCTTTCAGGGGGTCCTTCCAGGCGTAAGGATGGCTTCAGCCACTGGGCTCCTTTAGCCTGGGCAGAGCCCGATGAGCTGGTACCGAGGGCTGGGATGGTTCTGGTGAGAATTCATGTGTAGGCAGGACTAGACAGTTTCCCAAATACTTCAGCAGCCCTGATCTGATAGAAGAACCCCCTTGACGGCTCTGTAGGGCTGCGGAGGTAGAAACATCAAGTCTCAAGAGGAGAAACTGCTTTTAAGGTCACAAGCTGCCAGCTCCCTGTTTCTTCTGACTTTTCTCCCATTGAGGCCTCTGGCCTGGGACCCATTATCTGGAATGGAGAGCTAGACTTCTTCCTGAGTCCGCCCAAAGACGGTTCCATCCCTTGGTCCTTGTTCTCCTTCGAGGTCCCCTCTGAACACCCAGAATGCGCAGGTGGCATTTCAGGGTGCCACTTAATGGAGTGTTTAACGAGTGGCCTCTGAAGCTTCAGCCCAGCCTTGGTAATTAGTCACCCAGTCGGTGTGTTGGCCACCTTCCCCATGACAGCACCATTTTCCCTTTCAAGTTGGTGGCCTGTTGACACTTGTCTGAGACCTTACTCTCCGGTTCCCCACGGCAGGTCACCTGTCCCTTCCCAGCTGCCTGCCGTCATGTATGAGCAGGGCTCCCAGAGGGCGGGGGCATAGCTCTCTGACTGTCCCACGCTTGCCTGACTCAGACAGCCCTGTCAGAGGCTGGGAAGCAGGCCACGGGGTGCTCAGTCCAGTTTGGTCCCCCAGGGGGGACGCTAGCAACCTGGGGAGGAAGACAGGCTTGAGAAGGAGCCAGTGATGACACACACCATTTTGTTTTATGGGGCAGCAATTCCAGCTCAGGAAGATACCCCACTTGACTCCCAGAGGTTCCAGTCCCCTCTCGTCGATCAAAGCCCCGCCTCCAACTGGAGAGAAGCCTCCTCAGAGATGGAGACCACTTTGTTCCTTGTCTGGTTGGGCCCTGTCTTCAAGCCTTATCAAGAGTATGGGTACTGAGGGGTAGGGTAGGTTCCTGCTTATCTGCCTCATCCCCCAAGCTTAGGCGGGACTCCGGGGTCCCTTCTAAGGAACCTTCTCCCTGGGACCCAGCCAATCTAATCCTTGAGCCAGGACTGTTGCACAGCTTTGCCAGTCTTCTCCCCCACCCCATGCCTGATCACACTCCTTGCCTCTGGGAGGGAGGTGTAGGCCTCAGGACACGATGGCGTGTGCTTGTGTACCACAAGAGGAGAGACTCTTCAGATCCTGGCTAACTCTACGGGGTTTCCCAGGAAGCGGATGGGATTTCCCTCCTGAGATCCCGAGGGCTTTGCCTAACTGGGAGCACAGACACAGGAAGGGATGGAATGAAATTACACTAAAACGTCACATTAGGGAAGGCCATGGCAGTGCACACCTAGAATCTCAGCACTCAGGCTGACTGATGTGGGAGACATTCCAGTTGGTGGCCAGCAGCTTGGCTACAAAGAGACTCGCTGCCCAGCTTCCAACATCCAGAAAAAAAAAAAAAAAAAAGGTTGGGATGTAGCTGGGTGGGTGGTGTTCCTGCCTAGATGTCTGGAGTTGGGTCCCCAGTATAGGGGATCTGCAGAGACTGCTGCACATCTGTAATTCCAACACTCACGAGGCAGAGGCAGAGGCAGAGGCAGGGGCAGGAGGATCTCAAGTTCGAGGCCGGTCTGGTCTACATACAGAGTGCACCATGCTTGGTTTATGCAGTGGTGCTGGGACTGTCCCCAGGGATCCTAAGAACTCTGTCAGCTAAACTACATCCTCAGCTCCCATCCCTGTCTTTCTTTTCTAGCTGGGTTCTCTGGAATGAGGAACGATCACAAACTATCCACACCATGTGGCCCAGCCAGGTAGAGAAGGGGTCCTGTGCCCAGACTTCCCTCTCCAGACTGACAAACGGTTAGGTGTGATGAGCACTGACTCCTCCCTTTCCTTCTGGAACATTCCTTGCAGTGCTCAAAGGCTTCCCTTGGCCCTAGTCATCTAGCCTGGGCTTCCCCAAGTCCTGGGGGGCAACTTGGAGATCCCAGGGCACTAAGAGCTTAGACCTCAGGGCCCGGCAAAATTGTAAGTCCAAGAAGGGAGTGTTCTCACGCCTCTTAAGCCAGGAACGTGGTGGGTGTCTAGAGCCAGGTTCTGGACCCTCGGCAAGCTTCTCCCTCCTCCTCCACTGAAGCCAGGCTGCTCGACACTCCTGCCGGCTCCGACCTGTAGATCCTGACTCAGTTCCTGTCTCAGTCGCCACCCTTTGCCTCCAGGCTTCCACTTCCCAAGTCCAGAAGCCCAGGCAGGCAGGAGGCTGCAGGTCCTGGCAGAGCATGGGGCTCCAAAGCGGCTGCCTGAGTCAGCAGGATGGGAGATGAGGCTACAGTCCAGTCCAGGGGGCTCTCCGCATCCTGGTGGCCACTGGCCACCTTTCTAGAGTGGCTGGCAGCAAGAGGGATTCTTACTAGTCTAGAAAGAATTTACCACAACTGGCAAAACAATTTCTTAGGTAATTTCTCGCTTTGGAATGATCAAATTCAGCAGTTGACCAGAGGTCCTCGTGGTTGGTTTTAAGAATAGTCACGGAGCTGAGAGCTGAATACTCGCAGCCTCTGGAAGGGGACAATGGAGGACGCTTAGGTGATTCAGCTGTTTGCCTGTTTTTCTTCTCAAGTATTGCTGCTGTTCGAGGTGGCCCCCTCTGCTAAACCAGTCCAGGGTATGAGACAGTGTGGAATTCATAGAAACAGGCCCGAATGAGGTCAGCATGCAGAACTGCATTCCAGCTGGGTCATAAGAGGCCTTGGGCAGGTCCCTTCCTGCCCCTCCTGGGCTAAGGCCTCCCCACCAGTAACAGGAGGCTGGCAGCCCTGTCCTGGGTATGGCATTCTCCAAGTTTAGGGCTTCTCCAACCGCCCTCCCTCTTCCTGCTGTGGTAACGCAGCTCTGTTGGCTAGGTGGCCTTCCCTGAGCCTCAGCTCTCTCATTTGCAAGAAAGCTGAGATCACCTTTCTCTTTGGATACGGGGAGAAAAACAGCCTAATACTTAGCAAGCCCTGATAAATTGTAGCAGCAATACCGTCGCCTAGGCTTTTTTTTTTTTTTCTAATAATTTATTATTTGTATTTTATGTACACGGGTGTTTCGCCTACATGTATGTCTGTGAGGGTGTCAGATCCCCTGGAACTGGAGTTACAGATGGTTGTGATCTGCCATGTGGGTGCTGGGAATTGAACCCCAGGGGTCCTCTGGAAGAGCAGCCAGGGCTCTTAACCCCTGAGCCATCTCTCCAGCCCGGCAATTTCCTTTTATGTTTACGTACTGTGTGTTTGTGTGTCCATGTGTGTCTTTGTGGAAAGCACCTGGGGAATGGGAAGGAGACTATGGACTACCTTGGGTTAGGCTCAACTGGGAAATGTGAGCTTCAGGTTGGAGTTTGGCAGCCCCCACCCCACCCTCGTTTGGGACTAGGCAGGGTTTTTCCAAGTTCAGAGTTCAGCTAAGCCTTGAAGGTCTCTTGGGAGGAATGAGTTCTGGAGAGAGAGTCAAGAGGTCACTTCCCCATGTCCCTCCTGGCCTCTGTCTCCAGAGCAGCACTGTCCAGCCAGAGCTGGGCTGGAAGGGAGGCAAACAGTTGTTCTCACTCATCCACAGCAGGCCCCACCCACGGCCCCGAAGGAAAGTGGCAGGAGACACAGGAGACACTCGAGGCTATGGCAAGAAGAGGGAGGTCTTTATTTCTGTTACAAAAGGTAGTGGACAGCAGGTGAGCAGCCCCCATGCTGGGCGCAGCGCATCTCCCCAGGTCTGGCCCGTTTCCCTTTGGGTCCTTGGAAGAACGTGGAGCTGTGTAGCCCTTGGTGCCCGGGGCCAAGGATACAGGCTCCCACTTCACGTCCTCCTGGGGGTGGGGGCGTGGGAACAGTGTTGAGCCCTTGTGCTCAGAACAGTCGCCAAACTTGTTCAGCAGCGTCGGGACACCCAGATAGCTCCCGAAGAAACCTGCTTGGCTTGCCTATGGCTCTGCTGACTTGGGGGGGGGGGGGGAGGCTGTAAGGCAAGATTCCTGAAGAGTCTTGACACTTCACAAATCTGGGGAAGGGGCATGGCGGGAGGAGGGGAGGGCGAGGTTCAGCAGGGGTACAGTATTGAATATTGGGCTGAGGCTGCAGTATGGCTTTGTACACTCTGGCCAGCAAGGAGTCGGGGTGGGGGCCAAGAGGTCAGCACCTGCCCACTGTGGGGGGCTCCAGAGAGCTCACAAGTAGGACAGGCTGGGGGACGGACCCTGTAGGCACAGATGGTGGCCGATGGGCCACAGGTTAGGCAGGTGAAGGTACAGGGTGCCCGGCTCCCCCCAGGCCGCTCCTGAAGAGGCAGAGAATGGCGGTCCTCAGGAGCTGCTTCAGCCCCTGAACGTACTGGACGATCCCGCAGGATGGCAGAGGAGGAGGAGAGAGAGGGTTAGCGGATGGACGGATGGAAAGAGGTAGCCTGCAGGGGCCCCAGTGGGGTCAGAGGCTACCACAGCAGCTGCCCCGCTCCCAGAAAAGGGCCAAAGCGCAGGCAGCAGGAGAGAAACCAGGCAGGCAAGAGAGCTTGGCAGGGACACAGAGCAGGATGCAGAGGTGTTAGTGACCTGACTGAGGGCCCTGTACACCACGACAGACACTGCCCCGGCACAGGCCCAGGCCCTCACAGCACGTGTGCCGCCCTCCCCAGCCTCACCCTTCCTCTTCTGAAAGGACGGACGCTCCAGTCCAAGGAGGGATGGGGCAGGACTAAGAGCTTTCTGTTTGGGGGACCCCTGGGGACCTGCCACCACCAGCACACACACCACACCATACACCAGACAGATGGATGGACTGCTCCATGGGTTGGTGAACATGCGATGAGGATGAGATGGTGTGTGAGGGAGTGGGCAGAGCTGGCTGACAGGTGAGACATGGTCTTACCAGCTAACCCTCTGCAGAGAGGCCTGTTAGCTCCCCTCAGGCTGTGCAGGAGATGGCAAAGTTCTGACAAGTGTCCTCCTGGAGGAGATACCAGAGAGGTCGGCCTGTGTTAGCATCTGCTGTCCTGACTACCTAGGAGGTTGGGTTGGGGCAGGGACAAGAAGCTCTAACTGGCTGCCAGGCAGTGGTGGCGCACGCCTTTAATCCCAGCACTTGGGAGGCAGAGGCAGGCGGATCTCTGTGAGTTCGAGGACAGCCTGGGCTACAGAGCAAGATCCAGGACAGGCACCAAAGCTACACAGAGAAACCCTGTCTCAAAAAACCAAGGGGAGAGAGAGAGAGAGAGAGAGAGAGAGAGAGAGAGAGAGAGAGAGAGAGAGAGAGAGAAGCTCCAACTGGGACCCACTGTCTCCACATGGTTTTGGCTGAGCGATCATGGATCAGGGTGGAAAGTCAGCAGGGAAGAGCTCAGCAGGTACCAATCCCTGGGGCCCAAGGAGGTAGACATGCTGAAGGCAGTCAGGGGGCTTAGCCCCAGCTCCTCGGCCTCAGAGTGCCTCCAGTCGCCTGCCTGCCTCTCATTTCCCAGGGAAGACCCAAGTGTGTCTGAAAGAACCCAGAGCTAATAAGCTGCAAGCCAGGGACTCAGCAAAACAAAAGCCAACAAAAAACCAAACCAAAGAAAAGCAGCTCTTAAAAACACAAGTTTTATTACAAGCGGGAACAAAGAATACTGGCTTAAACAAAAGGCAGGTTAGGAGCCCTCCTCCAGCCCCCCTGTCTACCTCCCAGGGCCATGCAGGATGGCCTAGGACTCTGAAGCTATCTCTCCCAGCCACCACTTCCCCCTGTGTCCGGGACCCACTGGCCTCAGGAACAAGGAATGGAAGTTAAGTGACTTCCTAAGCTATGACCCAAGGGCTTCACCCACCTGAAGGGCCAAAGCGGGGCCTAGAAGAACAAGTCTCTATTTTGATTAGAAACTACAGCTCCCAGCAGAAGGAGGATTTGCTATGAGCTCCTGGCCAACCCACATGCCTCCTGGCCTAGTCTATTTCTTCCTTCATTTCTAATCAGCAGAAATGCATCGTCTCCTAGATCCTCGCACTGGGGCCCATACTCAGAGCAGAACACCAAGGAGGGGGTGTGGCTCTGCAGAATGGCAGCTGTTCCCCAGACCCGTCACCCCACCCACCACACCTAGCCTCAGCCTGTTGGGGCAGAACACAGCTGGGAGCCTGACCTGGGGGCTGGGTGGCAGAGTCCCTAGCCACTGGTTGTCTGTCTGATGGCTGTGGCAGAAGGAAAGAAGGCAGGAGCCCAGGGGTCTCCTGTGACTAATGCACATCCTCCCAGTCCCCATGCCTCAGGCTGCTCCTGAACACAGGGTAAGAGGGAAAGGGAACAGCCCAGGGAATATGGAAGTCAGCTGTATTTGTACACAGGTGGACACACACACACACACACACACACACACACACACACACACACACACACACTCAATCACTCACAGCTAGATCTGCTGTAAAAAAAAAAATGTATTAAACCACCTAGCCTTCTGAAAACCCTTGACTTGGCACTACACAGATAGTAACACATTAACTTCTATTTTAAAAAAGGGTATGTAAAAAAGAGGTCTATAAAATTGTGCAAAATACCCAGCATTAATAAACCCGTTTCAAGTATTGCCAGCATGATCTAACCCACCCACCTCTAACCCTGACTTGGAAGAGACTTGGGGGGCACAGGAAAGGATCCTTAGCGTCTCCGTGGGCTGGGGAAGGTAGGATCCCCATTCTACTGTGCTGCCCAGGACTCTGCAGGAGCTGAACTTCTGGGGGCCTGGATGGCCGGTCTGACTGCCTCTGACACCGGCTGCCTCCCACCCTCGGCCCAGGCTCTCTCTACTGGTACCCAGCTCTATCCTATTGGCCAATTCCATACAACCCTCCCCGCAAAAAGCCCACCAAAATAACCATGATCATCACAAAGGGAACGCAGGAGCCCCGGAACAAAGCAGTTCAAGGACGGGCGCTGGCCTGAGGCCACCTGTGCTTCAGGGCCAGGTGCTCAACAGTCCTGCTTCCAGAAGGCTCTTGACTCCCCGGGGCCCGTGCAAGCCTCCAGCTGGGAGGCCGTCCACTCAGCTCTCACCCTCACTCACACTGGGCCTCCCTGGCACAGGCAATGACTTGGCATGGTCCCCTTGGTGACCTGTCGAGGCTGTGGCTCTCCTCTCCTGCCACTGATCAGCTCAGGAACCTAGGGTCCGAACTGTGGGAACCTGGGTTTGGGGAGCAGAGGGCCCAGCTATGGGGCAGTTCAGAGAAAGCCACGCAGGATGGGAAATAAATAGGAAAAGACTGGAGTCTCTGGCAGCTCTGCTTCCCTCGGATGGTATGGGGAGGGTCCCGGCAGGCATGGAGGGCGGCAGGTGGCAAGCACTGAGTCACATTCAGGGGTGGCCTCCTACCATGCTGGCGTCTGGCTTGGCCCCACAGGGTGGCTCGTCACTTCTGATGGGCGAGGGCAACACAGCGTCAGACTGCACGAATCCCCGCCGGTCAATCAGGCTTCCAAAACATAAGGACAGGACATGAATTCCCGATACGGCTCCAGGCCAAAGGCCAGGTGGTATCACAACACAGACAATGTCTTCCAGGAGAGATCCAGCCCTAGGAAAGCTGGGCAAATGGAAGCTGCTTCCCATTCAGGAGTTCAAGACCCTCCCTCTGGGACTGGTGAGATAATTCAATGGGTGAAGGTGTTTGCCACCAAACCTGATGACTTGAGTTCAACCCCAAGGACTCATGACCTCCATATGCACACCATTGTATGTGTGTACACACACATGTAAATACATGTAAAATAAGACCTTCTGGACACTTAGCTTTTTCCATATAATTCATTCACTAGTTTGGTTTTGTTGTTTTTTTATAATTATTACTATTTTTAGACAAGATCTCATTATGTAGCTCTGTAGATTGTAGACTGTCCTGGAACTCATGATGTAGACCAGGCTGGCCTTGAATTCACAGAAATCGACCTGCCTCTGCCTCCCAAGTGCTGGAACTAAAGGCATGAACTACTATGCACAGCTTATTATTTTTTGAGACAGTGATTCACTCTGCAGCCCTGGCTGGCTTGGAACTCACTATATAGACCAAACTGGTCTTGAACTCACAAAGATCTGCCTGTTTCTGTTCAGATTAAAAAGGCAGGTGCCCCTGGGTGGAGATGGCGCATGCCTAATAACCCCAGCACTGGGGAGGCAGAGACAGGTGGATCTCTGTGAGTTCGAAGCCAGCCTGGTCTATAGAGCGAGTTTCAGGACTACACAAAGAAACTGTCTCAAAAAAAAAAAAAAAGGAGGTGGGTACATGCAGTAGTGCCATCATGCCAGAATGTTTTTAGGACCCCCAAATGGCCTTGCTCCTTGAGGATGTAGCTGAGCATGACCTTGAACTTCTGACAGGCCTGCCTCTACCTCCCAAGTTTATTCATTGTTAATTCAAACTGACTCAGCTGTCTGGGTGCCAAGAAGCCAGGCTGCAGGTGAGAGAAAAGAAAGAAGGAACAGCTATTCGGAGGCAGTGGGAGACCTACTTCTGTCTCCCTAGTTGGGGCACATCTGAAGGAAGGTCCTGTCCCCTCCGCCCCCATGGCCATTTAACGCCTGTTCTGGAGCTCTGGTGCCCTCTGCTGTCAGCACCGACATGGAGCCTCCTGGCAGGGCTGAGCCACTAAGGTTCCGGGAGAGGGTGGTGACCTCACCACGTGCAGGAAGAGCATGTCACCCAGTGTGGTCATGACAGTCACTGTGGTATCTCTGAGAAGTAGGGTTACACAGACTACCCTATGATCTTTACTATGTTGTACTTTTTTTCCCTTCGAAACAGTTTCACTGTGTCTCCTAGGCTGGCCTTGAACATGAAGCAATCCTCCTGCCTCAGCTTTCAAGTGCAAGGATTACAGGCACGTACAACTATGCCTGGTTGTACTTATTCTTATTCTGCAAATGAGTACATGTGACTAAAACTAACAGCTAACAGCCTTCCTCAGGATTTCTGGGTCATCCAGGAGAGCAGAGGACAGCAAACAAGGAATCCATGTACGTGCAGGGAGAAGGCCTGCTAAGGTCCAGACTCAAGGCCACCTCCCCGAGCCCTCTCTTACCTGGGAGGTAGAGGGCCACAGAGCACAGCACAGCAGTTGGTGACAATACTTTTATGGCTGTAGGGGTTGACAGACGCCTCACCGCCCCTCTTGCTGGACCAAGACCCTTTGATCTAGAAAGAGGAAGAAGCCTGGGTAAGCTCCCTTCTTCCAGCCTCCCTCCCTGGAGAAGACTCCCGTGGAACCTACTCCCGTCACACCTGCCTCCTTTTCTTCACCATCTAGAAAAGGGACCCAGAGGCCAGGGAGTCCACAGAAACCAGTTCTGGTTGGACTACTGGAGGGAACAAGTCTTCAGAGGAGGCCTCCAATGAAGATGGGGGACTTCCGGGTGTAGGGAGCTCTCTAGTAGAGACTAGAAGGCTCCAGCTAGCACAGAAGACAGAACCAAAAGGAAGTCTCTAGAGGAGGATGCTTGGGTAGACCGCCTCTCCCCTGGCTGCCCATCTGTGCCGATAGGTTTACATACTGGATACAAGCTAGCATCATCTGAAAGGAGGGACCCTCAATTAAGAAAATGTCCATAAGATCCGGGTATAGACAAACCTGTAGGGCCATTTTCTTAATTAGTGATTGATGGGGGAGGGCCCAGCCCATTGTGGGTGGGGCCACCCCGGGCTGGTGGTCCTGGGTTCTATAAAAAAGGCTGAGCAAGCATGAGGGAGCCAGCCAGTAAGCAGCACTCCTCCATGACCCCTGCATCAGCTCCTGCCTCCAGATTCTTGCCCTGTGTGAGTTCCTGTCCTGACTTCCTTTAATGAACAATGCTGTGGAAGTGTAAGCCAAATGAACCCTTTCCTCAACTTGCTTTTGGTCGTGGTGATTTGTCACAGCAATAGTAACCCTGACTAGGACACCAACTGAGAGGGGGCAGGATGGAGGGCCCCACCACTCCACTCCCCGACCTCGGACAGTCTGCCTCCCGGAAGCCCTCTGTGGACGGCATGGAGGGGCTCAGCAGGAAGTTCCCCACTTGCTGGGCCAAGCAGCCCTTTCTGCTCAGGCTGCGCTAACACCTGCAGAACTAGTCCTGAGGACACCCAGTGGGGGTGGGGGCCGGGCTGGGGCGGACGTTATTTCCGCCCTTATCAATGTGCTCAGTTTTGTTTTCCCAAACGAGAGTGTGAGAGGTCATGGGATTTTTTGGGGGGGGAGGAGTTGATTTTTTGAGACAGCGTTTCTCTGTGTAGCTTTGCGCCTTTCCTGGAACTCGCTCTGTAGCCCAGGCTGGCCTAGAACTCACAGAGATCCGCCTGGCTCTGCCTCCCGAGTGCTGGGATTAAAGGCCCGCGCCACCACCGCCCGGCTCTCTTTTTACTTTTTGAGACAGACTGTCCATTCTAACCTTGAATTTGCAATTCCTGTCCCAGTCTCTAGAGCAGCCGGGATTACAGGCCTGAGCCACCAGACTAACCAAGCTCCTGTTCTTTCTCTTCCCAACCCCCCTTTTACTTCTCCCCAAGTCAGTATCTCCCCACATAGCCCAGTCTAGCCTCAAACCAAGGATCGCCTTGCCTCGGTCTCCTAAGTGTCAGGATTACAGGGATGTACCACCATACCCAGTCTTCAATGGATCCATTTCTCTTGGATGGTGGGTCTCTAGAGGATCCATGCTATGTAGCAACCCCGGGAACACACACTGCCGTTTTCTCTTTGTGGGCTGAAGGACAGCGAGGGGAGGGCATGTCTGGACTGGGGACAGCGGGTGCTCAGACAGTGCTGGCTGGTGAGGGCTTACAGGGGAGTAGGTAGGAGGGATCAGCGGGCTCTGACCTTGGGCTCTGCCCGGGCTCCCCCAGCAGGGCTGCCCTGGACCACCCCAGGCTCCCCAGCCCTGCCCAGCTCTACTCACGTCTTCGTTCGTCGTCAGGTTGGAGGCGACGAGGTAAGTGTGGAACCCTGAGAGGCCCAGGATGGACCAGATCGAGAAGAAGCAGATGACCAACTCCAGCACAGTGGGACCATCAAGGACACATGTGTGGGGGAGGGTGGAGACCCTGGGACCTGTGCTCACCCTTCCCCACTCACCCCTCCCTGGAGCCATACCCCTGAAAAGCACAGGCGTTCTAACCTTTCTGTGATCCAGTCATCATTTCTCAGCGGATCACCTCTGCACCCCCAAAACAGGATGGGAGTCCTGAGGAGCAAGTCAAGATCTGGCTAGGGATGGCCCGGGGGATTCTAACCACAGGCTCTTGGCCACGACATGGTCTAGGGAGCTTGGCACCCTAAGGAACATGCAGGTTGGTGACATGACTCAGGGGGTAGAGGCGTTTGTCGCCAAGCCTGCTGGCCGGAGTTGGAACTTCGAGTTCCTCGGACCTCATTTGTGTGCTGTGGCACACACGTGTTCTCTACTGCCCCCACGCAAGTCACAATAAACAAAGATTTAATTAAGAAACACACTTGGGGTTGGAGAGATACCTCAGCAGTTTAGAGCACGGACTGCTCTTCCAGAGGACCCCTGTTCAATTCCCAGCACCCACATGGCAGCTCACAACTGTCTGTAACTCCTGACACCCTCACACGGACATACATACAGACAAAAACAATGTGTGTGTGTGTGTGTGTGTGTGTGTGTGTGTGTTATATATATGTATATATATATATAAATGCACTCTTTGCCGGGCCTTTATAGACAGGGACAGTTTCCTGAGGTTGCTTGCTCAGCCCCTCCCCATGACGATCCATTCAGGATCAGCTCTAGGCCGGGTGTTGACACAGTAGAGTGGATTCTAGGGAGCATGGCCCTACCATCCCACTTGGAGACCCGCCCCATGAAGAGGCCTCAACTCCCACCCAGGGCGACAACTGGAAAAAGATATCTTGCTGGTGTCTCTTTCAGAGTGGACAGGAAGTTGCTTTCTCGAGAACCTAGGAAGGAAGGACAGAGACCCAGCTCAGGGTGGTGACCACCGCCCCTTGCTAGGGCCAAGCTCACCGGTCAGGCCTCCTCCACCCGTTGTCCCCCCCACTCACGCAGAGTCAGGTGGGTGACCACGCAGGCGAAGATGAAGGCCGTCAGGAAGGAGAGGGAGAGGATAAACGCATAAAAGAAGCGGTAGTTCCGTCTCCCGACACAGTTGCCCACCCAGGGGCAGTGATGGTCAAACCGTTCTAGAAAGGGAAGGAGTCAGTGTGGGTCTCAGTCAGCACTGGTGGCTAGCCGCCCCCCCCAGGCTGGCACTGTCCCATCCTCTCCCCCCGACAGCAGCTGACTCCTGTCCCTCCCTTGGACACACCCTACTTGTAGTCTTGATCATCAGATCCCACCCACTGCCTGACACATTCCCTCTATTCTTTTAGCTCCATAGTAACTCCTTCAGATGTCAACTACAAAGCCACTCCCTTAAAAGGTCTCCTGTGGCCTCAAACTAGGTAGGGGTCCTCTGTCACCCGCTCTGTTACTCCTCTTTTACATAGCTTTGCCCTTGAGTGTTGACATTCATGCAAGACATGGTTGGCCTCAGACCCCTGAAATCTCCAGGATCCAAGAGAGTGTCTGGTTCACAGATTCACAGACCATGGCCTATTACCAGCTCCATACCCACAACTCTGGGCCTAAGGCCCAGAGAGGGCTGGGCCGCTAGGTAACTCACGGAGAGCTGGCACCAGAGGCCAGGGCAAGGGACTGAGCTCATACCAGCTCTAAGTCCCTGGGGGTGGGAGTCACACCCAACTGATGAAGAAAGTCCCTGTGGGAATCTGGGTCATAAGCCCGTTTTGGGCCTTATGCCAAGGCTGGTGCCCTCTAAGGAGGTGGGTGGGGCAGACTGGTAGGGATGAATAACACCCACTGAGTCACCCACTCCTCTGCTGCTGCCCCAGCTCTCCTCTTGAGGGAGTGCTGAGCTGGCAAGATGAAGTCACTGCCCTGGGAACTGCGCACCGTCACCATGGCTCAGCTCACTTGGGTGTCATATACATTCTCCCTTATGACACCCTCCCAAGGGACCATCCTGGGTCCTCGTCAAGCTGTAGAGCCTCCGAGGAGCAGGGTGAGGGAACAGACCTAGCAGAGGAGGGTGGTCAGGAGCCACCTGCCCGTTCTGGCCCAGGCTCTGCACCTCACCCTCCAGATTCTCACCCTCCCCGCCCTCTTTCTCAGTTCCATCATCCTCTCTCTGTCTTCCAGGCCTCAGGGATCACGGACCTCCTGAGGAGTGAACTGAAGCCTCCAGACAAGTTCAGGGCCTTTGTCTGCCGAAATACTTGGGGACTGGGGGACAGGATATACCACCCCTGGGCCAAGAGGTGTCCCAGCCAATCTGGGAGAGCCAGCCTTCCGGCTCAGCCCTAAGCATTTCAGATGTTGCCCGTCTTGCCCTACATGTGACCTCCTGCATCCAAGACTCAATCTCTCAGGGGTCCCCGAGGCCTCCCACTCACCCACACAGTTGTCGCAGACACTGCAGTGTGAGGTCCTGGGTGGCCGAAACATCTTACAGGTGAAGCAATACTTCAGTTTCACCATCTGCCCGTTGATCATCACCTCCCGGGTCCGAGGGGGCGGTCGGTATGTGGAGCTGCCTGTGTTGTCTGGGGGTGGGAAGAGAGAAAGAGGATGCCCAGATGGGAGTAGGGGACGACACACTAATGCAGGGTCAAACGTTATGAACTGCTTACAGGCCCAGCACTCCATTCAGGCCTGGGACTGTGCTCATATCTCACACATCTGCTCACATACCCACGGGCAGGCCTTCACCCTGAGAAAGGCCATCAGGGACAGAGCTCCTAGGAAGGTTTAGGGAGGTCATGTGCCTCTAATCCATGAGAACTTCCCAGTTAAAGGAACAAGATGATCGCCCCAGGGAAGCAACTGGATCTAGAACTTGGACATCTACAACCCACTGGTCTGACCGCTCACCAAAGCCAATGATACTTATAGAGAAGAGCTGGACAGAAGGCGGCTCAGTGTTAGTGAAGGATGCTTCCTGCCCTCCCAGAGGACCGGATTCTGTCCCCAGCACCCATGTCAGGTGCTCAGCTCTTCTGGCAGTCACATGCACACCTCCCTCGCCTCACACATAATTAAAAACAAACTCTTAACAAACAACAAAACAACAACATCAACAGAATGTCAGAGCTGGGATGGTAGCTCGTGCTTGTAATCCGACACTGTGAAACTGGAAAACTGTGAGTTCAAGGCTAGCCTAGACTACAATGTGTCTTTCCCTCCTCCTCCTCTTTCTTTTTTTAGAAAAAGATGTTTATTGACCACACTCTAAGACAGAAGTAGGTAACAGAAGAACCACCTGTCTGTTTTCTTGTTGTTTAATGGAAGGAATAACAAGTTTACCCGAAGTCTACAAATTCTACATGTTCTGTAGGATGAGTGTTTCCAAACTGAACTCACGTGATCTGAGTTCAGATCAAGAGTGTGTAACCAGCCAGGTATCCAGCACTTGGGAAGCAGAGGCAGGCAGATCTGTGAGTTCAAGGCCAACCTGGTCTACAGAAAAAGTTGTAGGTCAGCCAGGGCTACACAGAGAAACACTGTCTCAAAGAACAAAAAAACACAAAATAGGGTCTCACCATGTATCCCTAGCTCCTGGAATTCACTATGTAGGCCAGGTTGCCCTTGAATTCACAGAGATCCTCCTGCATTCACCTGCCAGGTGCTGGAACCACCAACCCCAGTTACTTATTGTGTTGATATGGGTGCTGAGCTTGGGGACATTCATCAACCGGGCTCCTAAACACCAGTCTACTGCAGTCTCTAGTTTGCCTGCTCACCTCCAGTGACAGTGTCTGAGTGCTCACCTCCAGTGACAGTGTCTGAGTGCTCACCTCCAGTAAGTAGTGTCTGAGTGCTCACCTCCAGTGACAGTGTCTGAGTGCTCACCTCCAGTGACAGTGTCTGAGGGCTTACCTCCAGTGAGCAGTGTCTGAGTGCTCACCTCCAGTGACTGGTGTCTGAGGGCTCACCTCCAGTGAGCAGTGTCTGAGTGCTCACCTCCAGTGAGTAGTATCTGAGGGCACTAGTCCAGGTACCCAGCATGCACTGGTGAGGCACATGCATTCTGATCTCAGTTCCAACCACCAAAGAGACTCTTATCATAACCTTGACCACACATGTTTAAAATGCAATTAAGCACCTAAAGATTTCCTCTTTAGAAGAGGAAGTACGAAAAGGCAGGGGTTGGGGCCCAGGAGACTGAGTCAAGTGAACTCTGAGTCTTTGTTTTCTAATTTGTAAAAGAGGATTCACCGGTAGAATGGTGAATACATTTTGGTCCTTTGTGAGACAGGATCTCATGTAGCCCAGGCTGGCTTAAACTCACTATGTAGCTGAGGATGACTCTGATCCTTTCACCTCTCACATGTTGGAATTACAGACATGTAACTACCACATCTGGCTCTATGTGGTGCTGGGAACTGAGGCTGGGCACACATTCTACCAACTGAGTCACACACCTTGTCCTGTTTGGTTTCTGAGACAGGGTATTACTTCAGAGTAATCTGGTCTTGAACTCAGGCAGACACATCTACTTTACCCCGACACATGCTTTAAAGGTAAGATCATTTTCAGCATCCCTACCTTACAGCTAAGACTTGCTCAATACATTAAGTGACTTGCCCTAGGCCACACAGTACCCAGCAAAACCAGGATTTGAACCCAGGTTTCAAAGTTCAGGTTTGAGGTCTTTTCATACAATTTGTAGCACCCTGGTAGGGTTGCAACTCAAAAAAGCACTTTGACCAGCATACCAGATCCTCAGGTTTAATCCCCAGTACCATCCCCAAATAAATAAATAATAGAAATTATCCAGATTCCTGCTGGGCATGTTGCAAGCCCAGTGCTTGGGAGGTAGAGGCAGGAGAATCACGAGTTTGAGGCTACCCTCAGCTACATGGCAAATTTGAGGCCAACATGGACTACATAAAACTTTGTCTTAATAATAAAGTGGGGGGGGGGAGCAGTGGCGGCGCATGCCTTTAATCCCAGCACTCGGGAGGCAGAGGCAGGCAGATCTCTGCGTTTGAGGCCAGCCTGGGCTACAGAGTGAGTTCCAGGACAGCCAGAGCTACACAGAGAAATCCTGTCTTGAAAAGAAAAGACAAACAAACAAAAGAATCAATTCATTTCATCTTATGTGTGTGGGTGTTTTGCCTGCATGTGTGCCTGTACACCACATGTGTGCCTGGTGTACATGGGGACCAGAGGAAGGGATCAGATCCCGAGACAGGAGTTACAGACGTTCTGAGCTCCCATGTGGGTGCTGGGAATTGAACCCGGGTCCACTGGAAAAGCAGCCGGTGCTTTTAACTGCTGAGCCATCTCTCCAGTTAAATTGCTCCTCCCCTAAGTTACTTTTCTTAGGCATTGTGGAGCAACAAGTAACTACTAGAGCCTCTGTGCAGACAGCTTCTTTGTCCTCATCCTTGCCTGGCCAGTCAACGGTCTGCGTGTCCTCCCCAGCCCTCTGCCCCCTCCCCGCATCGCCCTGATGCAGGCCAGGCCCGTATCACAAAAGCTGCTCCAGAAGACTTCCTCTCCCACCCCTCTACACAGCCACATCCTTCCTAATGCCCCTTCCAAGTTACTTCCTAGCTCCAACACTTTCCCAGAGTCCTTTTAAGACAAGACGGAGGGCTAGAGAGATGCTCAGTAGTTAAGAGCCTTAAATTCAGTTCCCAGCACCCACACTGAACAGCTCACAACGACCTGCATCGGACATCCTTCTGGCCTCCTCAGACACCTGAAGACATATGGTGCACACAGACTCAAACAGGCAAACAGACATACACAGAAATCAAATAAATAAATCTTAAAAAAACAAGAAACACAAGACTGTCCAGGCAGCATTTTGCAATCCCAGAACTTAGCAGGTAGACATAGGAGGCTCAGGAATTCAAGCTCAGCCTTGGCTACCTAGCAAGACTGAAGGAAGCTGGGACTGCATGAGACCCTGTCTCAACATCTTCAACCATTAAAAAAACAAACCTAGCCAGGCGGTTGTGGCGCACGCCTGTGGTGGTATTCTAATTGTACTGAAATGTGATTTTGATTGTATGTTAATAAATAAAGTTGCCCGGGGGTCAGAGCTATTAGAGCCATAGCAAGAGTGTGGCGGTGGTGGCACACGCCTTTAATCCCATAGATCTGTGTGTTCAGGGATACAGCCAGCATTGGAGACATATGCCTTTAAGACCTAGGGGGCTGTACATTCAGACAGTGACGAGGCAGTCACGTGTTTGGGTTTACAACCAATGAGAAGGCAGAACAATAATACTATAAAAAAGACGTACAGACAGGAAGTAGCTCTCTTTCGGGAAGCTGGGACACCGCAGGCGGAAGGGTGAGATTTTAGCTCTGAGCTCTGACCTCTCGGCTTTCTCTTTTACATTGTTTCTGTGTTTCTTATTTAATAAGACAGTTGGTTACATCAATACATGCCTTTAATCCCAGCACTGGGAGGCAGAGCCAGGCGGATCTCTGTGAGTTTGAGGCCAGCCTGGGCTACAGGATAGGCTCCAAAACTACACAGAGAAACTCTGTCTCGAAAAAAACAAAAACAACAACAACATAAATAAATTAACCTAGGGGCTGAAGGGCTGTCTTAGTGGGTAAGAGCATGTGCTGCTCTTGGAGAGGACCTGGGTTTGGTTCCCAGTGCCCACATGGTAGCTATCAACCACCTGTAAGTCCAGTTCTAAAGAATCTAATGCTCTTACCAGATGGTGGCGGAGCACACCTTTAATCTCAGCACTCAGGAGGCAGAGGCAGGTGGATCTCTGTAAGTTTGAGGCCAGCCTAATCTACAAATTGAGTTCCAAGACAGCCAGAGCTGTCTTGAAAAACCACCACCAAAAAAAAAAAAAAAGAAAGAAAAGAAAATTGAATGCCCTCTTCTGGAATCCATGGGCACTGCATGCATGTGATACACAGACATACATGTATGTGAAGCACCCATACACATAAAATAAAAATAAATCTTAAAACAACAACAACAACAATAAACAGCCGAGCTTGGTGGCACTCATCTTTAAACCAGCACTCGGGAGGCAGAGGCAGGTGGATCTCTGTGACTTTGAGGCCAGCCTGGTCTACAAAGTGAGTTCCAGGACAGCCAAGGCTACACAGATCCGCCTACCTCCGCCTCCAGAGTGCTGGGATTAAAGGCATGTGCCACCACCACCCAGAAACAAGCTTTATTCTTTTGACAGGGTCTCATTGTAGCCCAGGCTGGCCTCAAGCTTGCTGTGTTTCAGGATGGCTTCGAACCTCTGACCTGCCGGCTTCTACCTCCTGAGCGCTAAATTTTTGTGGTGCTGGGATTAAAACCAGAGCCTATGATGCTAGACAAGCGCTCTACCCACTGAGCTGCCCCCAGCCCATCCTCCCGCCTCTCTTTAAGATTTAAGTATTTGTTGTGCCGGGCGGTGGTGGCGCACGCCTTTAATCCCAGCACTCGGGAGGCAGAGGCAGGCGGATCTCTGTGAGTTCGAGGCCAGCCT